ACCACTTCTAAGTTACTTCTAGTTTATAGAATACTTCTATCTCATCTAAACCCTGCTAAAGCGTAAGAATGAAAATGCTTGCCTCTTAACCAGTACATAGTGGGCATCGATTCAGATAGGATTGACAAGTAGACTTAGTCAAGATCGAACTTGCAGCCCATTTTAGAGCAGATAACAAAATTACATCTAGATACGAAGAATAACTGTGTTTATGATGAATCTCCTGAGACCAGTGTTGGGAAGACCTTTATTTCGTATGAAAGTGCATGAAGAGTCGTAAGTTATACGACGATTGATTCTTGTTGTACTGTAGAAGTTTGGCTTTGATACGATGTACAGGTTGACGCAGTCCACTTAGTGTTAACGTAAGAATCTTACTAGAATGAGATACAGCTCTGGTGACCTACATCAAATGATAGACGAAAGTTCAGCCCGTTTTCACCCGAAGCGATGGAAATGTATCGTGTACTGCAACAAAGCTGAACATCGTATTAAAGACAAACGGTTGAAGTACAACAGGAATCAGCCGTAGTTTTCTGGAGAGATCAACCCACGAATACCTTCTTCAGGCACTTTCATATGAAATGAAGGTCTCTCTAACAATGTCATGTGGTATTGGCAAGTTTTGTGAGAAATGTTCATCCTATTTGGTTCAAGGTGATTAAGGACTAGAAGTTGAATCTTCCTCACAATATTATAAGTAGACCTTATGTTTCCATTGAATTTCACATAGTATTGCTTCCCAAAAAGGATGGACCGCAATTTCGACCTCGTCTAGGTCTTATCAGCACCCCTAGCGGATCTCGAACTAGTAAATTGCTTACTTTTCGTTTGTAAATCGGTTTAATCATCTTAAACGAAGTAGTGAGCACATCTCATGTATCTAGGTTACTGGTAATCTCGAGGGCTGACTTACGAACAAAAAAAACAAGTATAGTGGTCGATTGCTATAGCAAATATAACTTTGCTTTAACTACAATCCCACCACATAATTTGATATGGTAAAATGCCTAGCCCTCTGAAATTTATATTTGCCCTATTACCCAAGGCCACTCGTTGCAGTGGCATAGTGGTTATTGTGTTAAGATTATACACTGCATTGTTATGGTTCAAGTCCCGGTGTCGAAACTCCAGTACACCATGGGTGAAAATATCTCCGAGAAACAAATTTATGTGAAATTCGATGGAAATGTAAGCTCTACTCATAGAATTGTGGGAAAATTAAACTATTCGGTCTTTCTCGCCTTAAAGCAAAATAGGGTGAATATATATTATATAAGTAATTTATTGGTAGTCTCGAAAGCCGATTTCCAAACGGAAAATACGCAAGTTTTATCCTCCATTAATTTTTGTAAGCTAATTTTTATGTGAGAAACTCCATTCAATGCTTCTGTTGCTTCAAATCAAATTCCTTAGGTATTGGACAAGTGAGACTGAAAGGCATAAGTGAAGGTAGATAAGAAATAATCATTGAATAATTTAGTATAGCAACTCGCTCACGCGTTTTTCTCGTTCTAGTTCCCTGCGTTTCTTTTTATCAACAGCCCGCTCTTTGGCCCTATAAAATTCATGTAGCGCCAGCTTCTCCCACCCTTCTGCGTCCCGGGGGCGGTCATGCGATGGTGGTTGATAAAAGGTCTCAACAGCAGATAAGAGGCGCTCGCTGGGCGTTTCTGGCTTAGGTAACCGGATTCGATGTAGTCGGGGCTGAGACAGTGGTTGAGTTACGTCTGTGTCCTTCAAGCGGATCAAGTCGAGCATCAGACCAGCAGGCAGCTCCCAGGCCGAAGGTAATGGGGCTGTGGGCGGGGAGGCTAGGGAGCTAGAAGCCGGTTGGTGAATTCCTATTGCTGTAGGCTGCAATGTCCCAGAAATCGGAACGAAGTTTGCGTGGCCACTGCCATTACTAGAACCACTAGTGATCCCATTTGGTCCCCCACACTGGGAGCCAGGAGGCGCAGATATGCCATGAGGAGGGCCGCGTGATCCAAAGCGGTCTCGCTCTCGGTCTCGCTCTCTGTCCCTCTCGCGATCTCGGTCACGGTCCCGGTCTCGGTCACGGTCAATTCTCTCACGATCGCGCTCACGGTCACGGTCGCGATCACGATCACGTTCCTCATGACCAGCCTGATAGTGATCAAAGTCGTGGCGAATGAATCCACTACCACCTGGCCCGCAATCGTCAAATGGACGACCATTATAGCCCCCTTATAAGAAATAAGTAAATATTTTAAATGAAGAATAGAGCTATATATCTATGAAAGCATGTAATTAGACAACAAATCAAGATAGTTCTTCAATGAATTAAAAACGATGCTTGGTGAAAAACTAAATAAAAGAAACGTGGCTTTAAAGAGCAATGACAGCATCTTTCATGTCCTTGAAACAAAAACAACTGTGAAAAGTTGTCTTTTTGATTCACGATCCTTTATATTTTTGGTGAGATTTTAATTAGAATGACTTCAAAATTATGACTGTCTGATACATGAAATTATAAATCTCAACAGGGATTCATTGAGGTCGAATTGGCAATGCTAAACAGCCTCATATGTATTTATTGATTTAAGTTGACTAAATGCGTACTAACAATTAAATGTCCTTAATATTTATTAATTAATAAAATTCATTCCAATTATATAAAATAATCGCATATCCAATTCGTGATAGGACAGGTCTGAAATAGGCTTATTGTTAATAAAAGAAAATATAAAAATCATTTATCGACAGACAATTGTCGCTCAGAGAACCTAAAGGCCTAAATTTTTCGCATCCAAGAATCAAGCTCACATAAATCCACCTTTCGTTTTTTATCATAGTGAATAAAGTAAAATTTTCTCAGTACCAAAGATATCCTAAATTTAAATGAATGGACTAGAATAAGGCTCAGAACATGCGGAAGAGGATTTATGAAGATTAATTTGCTCATTTAGCGATTACTTTAAGTATACCAAGTATTCATGTCGTTGAATGCATATATATTCCATAATTTTTTTGAATCTAGCCTTCTGATTTATTCTAGAGGTCTCGGACTGATGGTAAACTTGATGCGTTGATGAGAATTGATTGGTGGGCTTGAAAAAGTAGTGCGGATCTTCACAAATGGTCTTTGCATAGAGTACGTGTTTGAAAAGAGTTGTGCCCGTGATGTAACGAGTTGTAGTATGAAAAACTACTGATAGAATATTTCACATAAAATAAACATATCACTGACGTTTTTGACAAGAATAATGTTAGATGATCAGT